AATTAACGAACAAACTAATTCTATTGGTTCAAAAAATACGCTGATTAAGCGAAATAAAGTTCTAGAGTATTCTGTTGAAATGTGTTAGAATTTGTATTATTCACAATTTGTTACGTTTTGAGATTTCTAGCATAAATTGTTTTAAAAATATTTATTATTTGTTTACAAAAATAAATGTTTTAAATATTTATTAATTAAGTTGTCAAAATTTTAAAAGTTTATTATAAATCATAGATTTTATTAGTATATTCTTATTTTTTATTTTAAAAGAGATTGTATTCTTATGTAAATGTAATTTTGTGTATTTGTTTTTTATCATAATGTATCTTTTAAAGCAATTTTCATGATTTAAACAAAGACTTACAAAAATAATTGCGTTGTCAATAAAGTTATAATCATTAAAGTTAATAAAACTAATTATGTAACAAACATATAAGAAGTTTCTGGTTACTAAACACAAACAACGCATACAAAGTAACTCGCGGATGAACAAGCATCGTGCATGAGGTCACGACAGAACACAAATATATATAGCAAATAATTAGATTTAAAGAAAAGTTTTTAGATATAGGTGTACTTACTCTAATTATTTTCACTTAAATTGCCATTCTTAAAACTCGTTATACTTTTTGATGCTTTAAATACTTATTAAAATTAAAAAGCCCACTCACTAAACATCATCAGCGATATTGTGAAGCAGTTTTGCTTCCTGGTCATTAAGTATTTTTAACCTTTTTAGTTGATTTCTATCTTAATAATTTTATTCGTATAGTAATTCAATGATTTAATTATTTCGTTTGTTTATCTTACTAAGAAGAATCACTTTAAATATGTTAAACTTTTCAAACTACGCGAAACATAAAATAGGTATTAAAAAAATTAACTTTTTTATTTATAAAATAAATTAAGCTTAAGTAAAACTAAAACTTGCAAACTTAGTTAAATAAAGAATATTTGTTTCCCTTTTAAACAATCGTAATTTGTTACTTTATATAAAAAACATCGCTTAATTTCATAAAAAAAATTGTCAAAGAGCGATGTTTCGAAAATATTTGTTCTAAATGTAATTTATTTAGCTTTAAGTTTTTTTGCGTTTAAAGATATTTTATTTATTTATTTTTTTTTGTAACTGTCTCTCATCGGTCCAATTAATCTTTGTCGCTTTTTTTTTTTTTTTTTTTTGTTTTTTAAAAATGTTCTCAAAACGGCTAAAAAATCTGGCCAGCTTTTCGCAACTAAATATTATTTACGTGGTCAGCAATCGAGAGCGATTGCTCCCGCTTCCCGACCAAGCCTGAATATACCAGAAAGGTATATTATATTATTTACTCAAAACTTCAATAAGTAAAGTTCGAAAAAAAAAACAACATTGATACATGGCATAAAATTCTAGGACATTGTAATTTTGCTGATTTGAAGAAATTAGAAAAAGTTGTTGAAGGTATGAAGATTACTAATAGTAATATAATTTTTGTGAAACACGTGTTTTATGAAAACTAACAAATATACGTAACAAAGAACCTAATATTAGAACAACATATCCATTTGAGTTACTATATACAGATTTAGCTGGACCAATTGTGCCAAATGCAAAAGACGGATATAGATATGTTATTAGTTTTACTGATAATTATTCAGGATGTTTATTCACTAATTTTTAGTGCATAATTTTTTAAAGTCAGACGTTGTACATGCTACAGAAAAGTTCATAATAGACATTTCTCCATATGGTAATGTAAAGACTTTCTCATTCAAAAGTGATGAGCTTTACCCATCTGGACCTGTTAGCCGAATTAGAATTGATTAGAGGTGAATATATTTCAATGGAATTTCGAAAACCTCTAAGAAAGTACTGTATTAAGCATGAGCCTCACCATATTCTCCTTATCAAAATGGCAGTGCCGAACGAAACTGGCTAATTTTGTTTGATGTTGCCAGATGCATGCTTATTGAATCAAAGTTACCAAAATTTCTATGGACATATGCCATAATGACTGTAACTTATGTTAAAAGTCGTTGTTATAGTAGTAGATTTGAAAACACTCAATATGGAACTATCACAAAAACTAAGCCAAACCTTTCCAAATTACATATCTTTAGAATAATTGGCCATCCTTATGAACATTTTACGTAGTAAAATTGGATGTTTATTGGATATGACAGAGAAAGCACTACATATTTTGTATACTACCCTGAAACAAATTCTGTTCTAAAGCATAGATTAGTAAAGTTTACTGAAAATTTTAGACTTATAACACCTAATGATATTGATGAAGATGAAATCAAAAACTCATACCAAAAATATCAACATCAACCTACCAAGCTACTATCTAATAAAAACTGTAGGAACCCAGAGAGAACTAGAAGACCATCAAAATATTTAAATGATTACATTATTGACAATTCTGAAAACAATTGTTACATTAAATATATTGACTACTGCTATTTTGTAAAAGTACATGCTTCTTACAGTGATGCCATTCGAAGTGAAGAAGCCTGTGAGTGGAGGAAGGCGATGGATGAAGAAATAAAACCATTAAATGAAAGGCATATGTACACCCTAATTACCTTGCCAAATGGTAAAAACTTAATAGGAGGTAGATGGATTTACTCAGTGAAAGGTGAACCTGATAATCCAATATATATAGCTCAATATGTAGCAAAAGGTTTTACTCAAATTGAAGGAGTTGATTACTCTGAAACATTTTCCCCCACAGCTAGAATAGAATCGTTAAGGATAATTATGAATATATCTGTACATAAAAATCTAATTGTACACCAAATAGATGCAAAAAGTTCATACTTACATGCTCCTATTGAATGTGAAATTTATGTTTCACAACCACCTGGCTAGGAACAAGCTGAATTAATTTAGAAGTTGAATAAATCATTCTATGGTCTTAAACAAAGTAAGAGAAACTGGAACAAATTATTAAAAGGTTGTCTTATTGAAATCAATTTTAATCCGACCCATGTGTTTTTATATACAATGAAAATGATTCAAAAGTTATTATTTTAATTTGGGTTGATGATATTTTTATATCCAACAGTCAAGAGGTAGCATACTTTACCCAATTCCTGAAAGATTTATTTGTGGATATCACTGAACCAATGAAAATCAAAAGCTTAACCAAGGTTCAATTGCTTTATTGAAAAATCCAATAAAACATTCATGTTCAAAACTCATCAATATACGATACCATTTTATAAAAGAGTATATTCATATAAACCTTGGAATATGTACCATCAAACAAAAACTTAGTGGATATTGGGTAGACTTGGAAAAATTCGGTCAACTTTAAATTGAGATTTCTCTAAAACTACAAATGTTTTTTATTTCTTTTTTTTTTTTTAATTAAAGGTTACTTTCTTATCTTTAATTGTGCTGATAAATTTTTATTTACAAATTAATGATTTGCAAAATGTTTTGGAAACAAATTAATGTACGTTAATAAGTTGTGAATTTTTTTTACAAAAATTTATAGATTTTTGCTAAAATCTTATCGCATGATTGCTAAATGTACAAATGTCCCAAAATCTACAGTCATAGATATTATAATTAAGTTCAAGACTATTGAAAGCTTCGAAAGAAAACCTGGAAGTGGAAGAAAGAAAACTTTTCATAATTCCAAAAAGGTAAAGTCTACTTTACGTTCAATAGCAAGAAATCCAAACCAGTCACAGCGAGATCTAGCAAGAAAATTCAATACTTAGCGTTCTTATATCAAAAAAGTACTTAAAAATGCTGAAATTAAAGCATTTCATATGAAAAATATATCTAAGAGAAGTTTAAGTGTTTAAATTAAAGGAATTCAACGCACAAAGAAGTTGGTTAAAATAATGGCGCATAAAAGTATGTGTATAATTGATGACGGCGAAACGTATTGCAAGGCGGATTTTTCACAACTTCCTGATCTTCAATTTTACTATGAGAACAAAGATGAACCAGCTGATGATCAATTTAAATAAATTCGACAAGAAATTTTTGCATCCAAGTTCCTTGTGTGGCAAGCATTTGTAGAAGTTTGTAGCTGTGGTATGCAGTTCTCTTGTTTTGTCACTAAGAAGACCTTGAATGCCAATCTCTACATCAAAGAATGCCTCCAAAAAAGACTTTTGCCATTTATGATAAAACACAAATTCTGATGTCTCTTTTGGCCAGATCTTGCTACATCTCACTATTCTAAAAAAGTTCTATAGTTGTGCAAATATAATAATGTGAAAATTGTTCCTAAAGATGTGAACCCTCCGAATTGTCCTGAAGAGCGAAAGATTGAAGATTTTTGGGCAATAGTTAAAGGAGTTCTTCGTAAGACAGGTGGAGTAACAAAAAATCCAAAAAAAGTGGATTAGTGCTACCAATAAGATGAATAAAGAAAAAATCTGCAAAATGATGGCATCAAGCTGCTATAAAATTCGTTCTCTTACCAAATAGCCCATCACGCCCCTTAAAGTTAAGTTGAAACTCTAATTGATGTAAACACAATTAATAATAAAAAATTGAAATAAAAAGCATTTATGGTTTTAGAGAAATCTCAATTTAATGT